CAAGTGTGAAGTAAAACATTTTGATTTTAAAACAGAAAGGTCATGTACGAGTTGGAATATGTTAATCGGAGTAAGACATGAGAACAAAGTGATCTCTGAATACAAATACAAAAATCGCTAAACATTGTGACGTAAGTTAATAAGGCCTTAAAGACCAAATCAAGCACTAGCATATATTTATTGAGAAATAGATTAGGAAAGTACAGAAGTTATACTAAATCTGTATTGAACCTTGGTTAGACCACACTTAAATGTCCTGCCCATCTTTCTGGTGTGCATATTATAGAAAGGATATAGAGGCACTGGAAAGATGCGAAAAATTAGAAGGATGGCGCCAGAACTGCAAAGCTATATCTCCAATGAAAGGATGAACAAATTTTTTTTCTGTTGTTCCGAGAAGGCTGGAGGTTCTCTTGATTACTGGTCTTTAAAATTAGTATAGTATTTTGTTAGATTATTCATAGTCTTTCCATTTGTGAAAAGAGCAACACCAGTGGCCTTCAATATAAGAAAGCAACTAAGAAAACAAATGAGGAATTATTTCCTAGACTTGTAGACAGAACGTGATTCAGCCTGTCATGAATGTGCTGGTCAACAAAGATCTGACTACACTAGTCCAATTTTCCCACTCTTAGCTCATAGCTATGGCAAGGGAAATGAAAATCAAAATACTGCTTAAATATTTCCAGAGTTTCTGAATCAACTCTCCTTTCAAGCAGACTGTCAGACTCTTCCCCACTCTTTTTGGATGAAAGAAGTTTACTCAACTTCCCTCTTAGAAGAAATTCCATAACCTAGAGAGTGGTATGCACTTGGAACTCATTACCACAAGGTAAATTGATGTGGATAGTATAGATGCATTCATGGGAAACTCAACAGCATAGAAGGGCAAATGGAATAGGGTGTTATCCTAATAGTTAGATGAAGAAGGTTGAGAGGAACTCAAATGTTGACATGGACTGGTTGGGCCAGGGGGCATTCCTTGCAAACACTTGTTCTGCTTCTTCAAAATGCTAAACATTCATCTCTTCGTCTCCCTGTTTCTGTATCCCTATTTAAAATTGTTCCATTTTTAGAATATAGTGGAAGGAAATGATTTCCGCTTGATGTATTCTAATGCAATTTTCCACCACTGTTTAGTAAACATCAGCTGGTAGCGAGTTTAAATTAAAAATAAATTCCAAGGTATTTTGTAGGAGCACAAGATAAAACTAAAATGAGGCAAAGGAGGGATTAAAAGAGATTGCAAAAACAATGGCAAAGGAATCTGTTTTATGAGGAATCTTAAAAGGAGGAAAGGTAGGAAAAATGCTCCTGAAGGAAGTTTACAAAGAGTCACTGAGTTAGCTGAAGGTGTATCTGCAAAGAGTGGGGAAGAGTTAGGCATGTACAAAAAGACAAGAAATGGAAAGATCACAGGGGATGCGACTTAAGGTGTGACACTAAAAAGATGGAAGAACAGTCCATGAAAGACCTTAAAATAGAAGGAGAATTTTATGCTCAAAACGCTGGGCATTGAGAGCTATTGAAAATCATTGATGGCATTAATGGGAAAATGTGATTTGGTGCAAGAAAAGATATGGATGGAAGAAATTTAGTATTGAAGGCTATTCAAAGCGGTGACTGGCAGGTGACAAGGAAAACTTTGGAGAATTTGAGTTGTTAGTTGGCTATGACAATGGAGATAAACCATGTTATGAAAATCAAGTGTGTATAATCTTCTGATAGTGGGGTCAGAATTTAAACTTGTGGTTGGTTGGGTGACGAAATTGCAAACGGTCCTATTTAACCTTAAGTTGTGACCTGATAGTGATGAAGTCAATGGTAAGTTTATGGAGTTTGTGAAAGTAATGATTTTGGTCTTCCTCACTTTTTTTAGCTGGAGGAATTTACTGATCATCCACAGTTGCATATGAAGTAGGCAGTCTGATGGCAGATTGAAGACAGAAGATGAGACTATAGACTTGGGTATCATCAGCATACATAAGGAAGTTGACTCTATATCTACAGACCATGTTACCAAGGAGCTACAATGTACATGACTGATAGGGGACGGACTTGTATTCCTCACGGTAGTGACATTTGAATGAGAAGCTACTTGTAAAATTTATTTTGACTGTGACGTTTTGTTTGTTTTGTTTGTTTGTTTGTTTGTTTGTTTGTTTGTTTGTTTGTTTGTTTGTAGTTCAGGCTGCCTCAAAGCATTTCACAGACACTGAATTGCTTTTGTGATTTATAAGAAGTGAGAGTAATAATTTTGGCCTTCAAGCCTATTTCTCTATTTGAGATTGTGGTGACTGACCTCAGCTATACCTGTTTGTACCTCTGTGATTCCCTTGCAATCCGATGACCAACAAACATTGGCCTTGTCAGCACCCCCGACATCTCATCAAAGATAAGCTTTCTTTTTAAAAAAAAAAGCTTAATTGGTGATCAGTTGTCATTCTCCCTAATGTTTAGGGAGTATTGGCCTTGTCTCCACCACCTTGGTCAATCACCTCAACCTAGGATATGGATTCCACATTCAGGAATGAAACATGTGACTATATAATCAGTTTCAGTGATGTTGATTCAGGGCTGAATTTTTGTTAGCACAAGCTCTTCTGATTTTCAAATAATTAGGAGTTTTTTTTTTAAAAAATGGTTTCATCTGGGAGAGCAGGAGAGGCCTTGATTTAATGTCATGTTTGAAAAATGCCACTTCCTTAAGTACTACACTGGAGTGTCAACTTAGGCTATTAGTGCTCAAGTTTCATAAGTGAACCTGAAACCCTCCTGACTCAGTTTTGATGTCATTCTCCATTGTTGGTCACCTTGTAATCAAACACCACACTGGTATGTATACTTGACTCCAAAGCATCTGATTGGTAAGCAATATATCAAGCGTGTTGATAATGGATTCTCTTTGATATCCCACTCTAATGAGATAAGTTCTGGTATACTGCCAAGATCCCCCCCAACCCCGGCATGTGTACACGGAAATGTAGTTTGGAGCACCAGTATGTTCTGGTACACATCCGAAGCCTTGCCAAGGAATATGGACTTGCATAAAATGTTTCATCATAATTCTAGTACACTCAATCAAGATGGCGTACTTTAACAAAGCAGTAGCAAGACATTCAATTGAAATGCCACACAGCCAGTCATACACATCAAATGAAGTGGTGAATTCTTTACAGTTTTAATTAATTACACAATGGACTAAATACTGGCAGTTTAATCAGGAATTTATAATAAAAGAGACTATACAAAAAATTATTTAACAAGATTGTGACCAATTATTGCAATGGCTTTTGGGGATTCAGTAAACTTTGTTAGCAAGAATTGTTTTTGAACTCTGAGCAGTTGTATAACAAAAAAAAAATCTTGCAGATCCTCCCCTACAGTAAGCATTTTGTTTGAGAAGTATTGCACTGGTTGTGAGGGGAGAGATTGAGCTGATTTATTAATGATAATTTGCATATTTTCCAAACTTTCAACAGTGTGTCTTTGGACCAAATTGTTGCCTATTTTTGTCACTGGCTTAGTGGTCAGACTTCATTGTGGTCAAATTATTCTTGTGGCGAAATTTAGTTTTGTGGTTTTATGGCACTGATTTCATAAACATCCTCTGAACTTGCAAATTTTGGAGAATGCACAATAGGGCTAAGTAATTTCCAACAAGTTACTTGAAATATGCTTTTTGAAAATGCAGTCATGAATCAACAAGCATCTTTTGTTTTTGATATCTGAATACTCCTTTGTTTAAGCAATTAAACCATTCTGGTCCAAATGATCAAACAGTGTGCATGTCCAGGTGATTTTTTGAAATTTGGTCTTCCGATTTGATTGGATAGTTTTTCCATTATAGTACGTGCACATCCATTATTCTCTTGTTTTAGTACATATATATGTATATCAATAATTACAAGAGGGTTGATTGCTTCCAGCTGAACTAATTTATCACAGATGATGCTGCCCAAACTCTGACATTACAAACAGAAAGCTACACCTTGAAATTTTGTTAGTTGCTGTTTTGGATAATGTCGGCTCGAAGCTGGTTTTAGCAAAATAACTCCATAGAATATAATATGGAATTTTACTAACCACAAACATTTGGCAGGGTGGTACGGATTACATGAGTATGTATTTAATGCATGCTGTTAAGGATTAATCCATTGAATGTCTGATTATTGGATCACGATTAAGTGAAGTGTGATGGTAGGTAGTAAGTGTACAGAGAAATCTTTGGTAACGTGCTACCAAAGTGCAATTATATCATATTGTTAATCAAGCTATTGTTGACAGATATGTTCTAAGGCATTTTCCTTACAATCTTTGTAAGTGATTTAATCTTTGGTTAGCATTTCACAGAAGAACTTAATCTCAGGAGCAGCAGCAAAATGTTCTAACCTGATTTTTGTAAAGTACACATTAGTGTGGATGTATCCACAAGGTTGTAGTTCGCTGATTTCTTCAGATATTTTTAAGCAGCAGAAGCTTTACCCTTTGTAGCTATAATTCATGAAGATATCTGGATGCAATTTTGACCTTGATTTATCATTTATTTAGCATCCTTGATTTATTATGTAAATGCCAATTTTTTTTTAGTTCATGCTGTCAATTGCCTTAAGCATGACTATCTGCTGGAATCTTAATTGGAGAAAGGTGGTTTTTGCTTGTGTTTGCTTGGATTTCTTAAATATATTTTTCACTTATTGTTATCTTTTGCGGGTTGTATAAATATTAAGCAATTTCAAAAATGAGGTCACGTCAAGCTGGAATCCTGAACATACTGTCAAGTCCAGCATGATTGATTGAAATGATTTTCAGAACTTGTAGTGAAAAGGGATGTTGCTGGAAATTAAAACTCTAAACCTGAGGGTGTGAAGTCTGGCAAATGTTCAGAAAATTGATGTTGTTTTCTTCTTTTCTTTTCCAAAAAATACCTACCGTGTGATTGGTGATGGATCTATCGTCCTTCGCATCACTTTTTCACTCTGTGGACTGATCGTTTTCAGGAAAGGGCCTAAGGTATGTATGGTAACTTCTCTGGGTGAATTGATATTTACAGATTGCAAAGTTGTACACAGGCAGCAGAAGAATTGCTGCATTGTATTTTAAATTTCATACATAACTGGTACAATTCTATTCTTGACTCTGGTTGAGCAAGTGGTAATATGTATTTCTGAAATATTTAACAAAATGCCTCAGATTCTGTATGAAAACACTCTTATGCAGTGATACTCAGTAGTTAGCACTGTTGCCTCACAGGGCCAGGAACCTGGGTTCAATTCCAGTCTCTGGCAACTGTCTGTGTGGAGTTTGCACATTCTCCCCGTGTCTGCATGGGTTTCCTCTGGGTGCTCCGGTTTCCTCCCACAGTCCAGAGATGTGCAGGTTAGGTGGAATGGCCATGCTAAATTGCCCATCGTGTCCAGGAAGGTGCAGGTTAGGTGGATTAGCCATGGGAAATATAGGGTTACAGGATTAAGGTAGGGGATGCTCTTTGGAGAGTAAGTGTGGACTTGTTGGGCCAAATGGCCTGTTTCCACACTAGTGCAGGTTCTATGATTCTTAAATCAATGTATTATTAACAATGAAGGTAAAACAATCTGAGAAAAAAATGAGATGAAGCAAATTGAGGCTCCAGGAGCATAAGGACCAGTGTCAGCTTTTAGATAGCAAGTACTGCAGATGCTGGAGTCAGAGATAAGACAGTGTGGAGTCAGAGGAGCAGGAAAGTTGATGTTTCGGTTGGGGACCCTTCTTCAGGTTTATTCTTTTTTTTTAAAAAAAAAAAAAAAAAATTGGTGTAAGGACAGAAAACAGTGATCATAGATGATTATTTACGAAGTTCAAGTAGGTAGTGGTGTTCGTCAGGGTGACTGATATTTTTTTCGATAGCATAAATTGATATTAAAATATAGAACAAAATTTGAAAAATTGCCCTTACTACCAATCATGGATATGTGGCAAAAAATGAGAAAGATAATGCTGCCCTGCAACAGTACATAGACGAGCTCTCAGAATGGACGGACAAAAGGCAAATACAGTGAAATAGGAGGTGATATTATGGTAAAAAGACTGGAGGCACAATATAAGCTTAATGGCACAGTTCTAAAATGTATCTAAGGATAGAAGGACTCGGGGGATCTTTGAATGTGGCAGGACGTGTTGAGTCTGTAGTTAGGAAAGTATATGAGATATTGAATTTTAGAACTGGAAATATTGAGTACAAAAACATGAAAATTCTACTCAACCTTCATAAAATGCTGATGAGGCAACAAGTAGAGTATCATCTCCACTTCTTTTTGTGAAAATTTAGAGAGGACACGAGGGCCCAGGAGAAGGTGGATAATGCATTTACCAGAATAGTTCCTGGGGATAACCTTTAACTACAGGATTAGAATACAGAAACTGAGGTTGTTCTCCATGGAGCAAAGGAAATACTAGTATCATTTGATAAAAAGACTACAAGATTAGATGACATAAACAAAATTGAGTTGCATTAAATCATTTATTGTCACGTGTATTCAATATAAAATATAGTGAAAAATGTGTTATGCATAGGCTCCATTCACATTAACTTAAAATTAAAACAAAAACCTAACTTGGAGAGTCCAACTTTTCCTTCTCCGCTGCTACAGTCCCGCTCTGGGCTACACCAGCCCATGTCTCGCTGCTGCCAGATTGCCACTCCACATGGAAGCGAGAGTCCCATTCCAGGCTTCGTAGGCCAGCCGACTGACTCTGTAGCCATGCTGCTTCAGAAGATGCTGCTGCTGCTCTGGAACCCATCAAAGTTGCCTTCCTACTGGTTCCTATTAGCTAATAATACAAGAAATAGGGGACATGTTTAAGGTTTTGGGAAAGTGGGGGTGTGAGGAAGAACTTCTTATGCACTGAGCAAACTCACTATCTATGAATATGGAATAGGGAATTATTTTAAATGAAAATTTTAATGATTCTTGTGGTTTGAGGTAGAATAGGTAAATGGGACTGACTGGCTACATCTGCAGAAAACCTCTGTGTGGCTGTAGTGCCAAAAAATTTAGAGAAAACATCTAAAGAAATGACCACTCTTAATTTTGGCTGGTTTGTTAGTTTCCAGAATAACTGAACTCAGATATTTATATATTTTGATTTTATCTTCATTTATGTTGTGTGTGTATCCATTCTTTATTTTGCCTCTTTTCTCCACTTTTTTCATTATCACTGTTGCAAGGTCTGTATGTATGTGTTAATATTTCTTTTCCCTCTCCTTTCTATTGCTCATTCTTTCGCTCACATAAGCTGATTGTATTACTGTGCGCTTATTCAGCCAAGCCCAAACTCTGGTCATTTCTGAATTCTGTTTTTATGTGATTCATTACATTGTGTTGAGATTGCAATAAACAAAGTTTCTGTCTTCATAATGGATAAAGGTGGAAATTTTCAATGCCTAGTGTTGCAGTTAATATGTTGAGCCTGCATATTCTGCAGATAATTGCAGACAAAAAATAACACCACATCATTGGTGGGGAAACCACACAGTTATATATTTGAGCTAGGAATCTTGAAACAGTCATTACAATTCTTTCCAACTCATTTCTTTTGGCAGCGATTCAAAATTAATGTTGAAAATTTCATGCTTTCTAAATCTATGTCTATGGTAGCCTGTGACATGTCATGGAGTGATTTCCCTTTTAAAATCTTTATCTGAGACATTATGCTGAGATGTGTCATCTGTTTCTTTAAGTTGGACCTTTTGATTCTATTTAATGGACAAGCAAGAAATTTGATTAAAGTGATGACTGACTTTGCTCCTCGCATTTGCAAACATCAAGTAGTTTTGACTCATTTTGGTTAATTGTCCTTTATGGGACATTTCTTGTGCAGGTAGCGTAACATTTTCTGTCTAAAATAGTCCTTGTGTGAAGTAATTGAAGACACTTTGGGGTGATGAAGCACATTACAAAATATCAAAATTTAGAATAATCAACAGGCTGTGGTATCTAAGGAATTCATCTGGTTCTGTCATAATTTGGTCACGTAGATTTTCTGTATCCTCTCCCAATCTCAAAGAAGTGTATTTTAAGTTTTTGTTACATTGACATCCATCAAATATTTATGTCTGCTGCTGGGGATGTTCAGAGTTTTATTAGGTCAATTGTTAGCATTGATTGGCTAAGAAAATTTAAACCTCTCCAATTCACTCAATACAATTCTTCATACAATATCTGAATTTATTGCCCACAGTGTACTTGTGCTTATGCTGAAAAACATCTTTTAAAGAGCATATGACACTTTGCATTTTTCATACAAACTTATTGTGTTGAATCGCTTTGGAAAGGCTACTACATTAAGATTGTTCATTTGTGCAAAATATTTTTCATTTGTGCTAAGAAATAAAGATATTCTTAAACTGCTCTTTGCAGAGAAAGGAGAAGTTAAATAGAAATTTTTCAATATTCAGTTGCGCATTCTGTAATTATTATTCAGGATAATAATTAACTTTGAGCTTGACTTTCTTTTAAATAGGTGTTTGCTTTTGACCATTGTTTCTGGTCCATGGATGAAAGTAATAAAACGAAGTATGCAGGTGAGCCTTTTACAAACTTGAAATAATGTGGTACCATTTATTGCATGTGTGTTTGTATGTATGCATCTGGAGCATCTGTGATAAGCTTGTCAATTAATTGTTCTGATAATTTTTGGATTTTGTTTACACTTCACATTGTGAGCGTATCCTAGGAAATGCTGCCTAAGTGCTGAAGAAGTACTGGCAACTGTAAATTGAATTGGCTTTTAATTAGAGCTCTCTTTAAATTTCCCAGAAATGTTTTAAACATGTGGATGGATTTGAATTTACTTGACACACTGACATTTAACTTTGTAAACTGGAGGTGACCTCTTTAGTTTTGCTTACTTGCACCAACACATGCGTGCACGCACACACCCCTATCGTACACAGCTCCTTATTGTAAAGTCCTAAGAATATGTGGAGCCGCTCAAGACTGTTCAACCATTTAATATGTTCTTGCCTAATCTCATTTTGGCCTCAATTCTACTTTTCTGCCCCCGCCCCATAATCCTTTAACTGTTAGTAATTGAAAATCTGTTTGTCTCCTCAAATTTTTATTCAGTGTCCCAGCGACCACTGCTGTCTGTGGTAGTGAGTTCCACAGATTCACAACCCTTAGAGAGAAGTAATTCCTCCTCATCCCTGTTTTAAACTTGCCACTTCTAAGTATAAAGCTATGACATCTGGTTCTAAATTGTCTCACACAGGGAAACATCTGCTGTACATCCACTTTGTAAATCCCTTTTAGCATTTCTTACACCTCAATTGGATTGCTGTTTGAATGTTTGAACTTCAGAGAGTATAGGCCTAAATTGCTCAATCTCTTTTCATAGAATTAATCTGGTTAATTTTCTCGGAACTGCTTCCAATGCAGTTTCATCCTCTCTCAAGTAAAAGGACCAACATTGTATGTAGTACAAGAGATGGGGTCTCGCCAATGCCTTGCATGGTTGCAACAAGACTTTGCTACTTTCATACACCATTCTTTTACCAATAAATGCCAATATCCATCTGCCCTCCTTTATTACTTACTGTACCTGCAAGACACTGAGATCCTTTTGCACCAAAGTATTTTGAAGTTTCTCTCCAATTAGATCAAATTCTGACCAAATTGAATAACCTCACACTTGACATAGTTAAACTCCATCTAATAAATTTTGGCCCATTCACCCAACCTATTGATACCCATTTCTAAATTTCTTATTTCTTCATTGCAACTTACTTTCCCACCTATTTTAATGGTCTTTTGCAAATTTAGTTATAATACATTCTATCCCTGCATCCAAGTTATTTGGGGAGGTGATGGCTGAACGGTAATATCAATAGACTGTTAATCCGGAAACTCAGCTAAAGTTCTGGGGACCTGGGTTTGAATCCTGCCATGACACGTGGTGGAATTTGAATTGAATAAAAAAAAATCTGGAATTTACTGATGACCATGAACCATTGTTTCTGTCGGGAAAACCCATCTGGCTCTCTAAAGTCCTTCAGGGAAGGAAATCTGCCATCCTCACCTGGTCAGGCCTGTATGTGACTCCAGATGCACAGCAACGTGATTAACTCTCAACTGCCCTCTGAAGTGCCCTAGCGAGCTGTTCAGTTATATCAATTGCTACAAAGTCTGAAAAAAGAAATGAAACTAGATAGACCACCTGATAGACCTAGACACAGAAAATACTGCAGCAGAAACAGCCCTGTTGACCCTGCAAAGTCCCCTACTAACATTTGGAGGCTAGTGCCAGAATTGGAAGAGCTGCCTCACAGACTAGTCAAGGAACAGCCTGATGTTGTAATACTTGTGGAATCGTACCTCACATGCACTGTCCTAGACACCATGATCACCGTTGCTGGATATGTCCTGTCCCATCGGCAGAACAGACCCATCAGAGGTGGAGGCATGGTGGTATACAGTCGGGAAGGAATTGCCTTGGGGTCCTCCAACGTGTGTGGACCCATGAAGTCTCATGGCTTAAAGTTAAACATGAGCAAGGAGACTTCCTACTGATTACTGTGGACCATCCTCCCTCGGCTGATGAATCAGTACTCCTCCATGTTGAACAACACTTAGAGGAAGCACTGAGGGTGGCAAGGACACAAAATGTACTCTGGGTGGGGGATTTCAACATCCACCACTTAGTCTTGGCAGCAGCACTGTTGATTGAGCTGATCAGGTCCTAAAAGTCATAGTGGCTACACTGAGTCTGTGACAGGTGGTGAGGGAACTAACTGGAGAGAAAAACATACTTGACCTCATCCTTGCCAACCTGCCAGCTGCAGATGCATTTGTCTATGACAGTATTGATAAGAGTGATCACCACACGGTCGTTGTGGAGATGAATTCCTGCCTTCACGTTGAGAATAACCTCCATTCTGTTGTGTGGCTGTATCACCATGCTGAATGGGACAGACTTCAAACAGATCTAGCAGCTCAAGACTGGGCGTCCATAAGATGCTGTGGGCCATCAACAGCAGTATTGTACTCTAGCACAATGTGCAACCTCATGGCCCAACATATTCCCCACTCAACTATTACCGTCAAGCCAGGAGATCAACCGCGGTTTAATGGAGAGTGCAGGAGGGCGTGCCAGGAGCAGCACCAGGGATACCTAAAAATGAGGTGTCAATCTGGTGAAGCTACCAAACAGGACTATTTATGTGCAAAACAGCATAAGCAGCAAGTGATTGACAGATGTAAGTGATCCCACAACCAATGGATCAGATCTAAGGTCTGCAGTCCTGCCTCATCCAGTCGTGAATGGTGGTGGACAATTAAACAACTCACTGGAGGAGGAGGCTCCATCAATCTCTCCATCCTTAGTGATGGAAGAGCTCAACACATCAGTCCAAAGGCAAGGTTGAAGCACTTGCAGAAATCTTCAGTCAGAAGTGCCGAGTGGATGATACATCTTGGCCTCCTCCAGTGATTCCCAGCATCACAGATACCAGTCTTCAGCCAATTCAATTCCCTCTACATGATATCCAGAAATGGCTGGAAGCACTGGTTACTGCAAAGGCTATGGGCCCTGACAACATTTCTGGCAATACTGACATGCTCCAGAACTTGCTGCTCCCCTAGCCAAGCTGATCCAGAAAAGTTACAATGCTGGCATCAACTTGACTATGTAAAATTGTCCAGGTGTGTGCAGGACAAATGCCACCCGGCATCAGGCTACTTTCGGTCATCGATAAAGCAGTGGAAGGTGTCACCGACAGTGTTGTCAAGCAACAACTGCTCAGCAATAATCTGTTAAATGATGTTCAGTTTGGGTTCTGCAATGGCCACTCAGCTCCTTGCCTCATTTCAGCCTTGGTTCAAATATGGACAAAAGAGCTAACTTCCAGAGGTGAGGTGAGAATGACAGCCCTCGATATCAAGACCACATTTGACCAAATCTGACATCAAGGAGCCGTACCACAACTGGAATCAGTGGGTATCGTGGCAAATTTTCTGCTAGTTGGAGTCATAACCTGGAAGTTAGGAAGATGGTTGAAGCTGTTAGAGGTTAGTCATCTCAGCTCCAGGACATCTCCTGCAGGTGTTCCTTGGTAGTGTCTTAGGCCCAAATATCTTCAGCTACTTCATCAATGACCTTCCCTCCATGGTAAGGTCAAAAGTGGGGATGTTTGCCAATGGTTGTGCAATGTTCAGCACCATTTGCGACTCCTCAGATACTGAAGCAGTCCATGTTGAAATGCAACAAGATCTGGACAATATCCAGGCGAGGGCTGATACGTGGTAAATGACATTCATGCCTCACAAATACCAGGCAAGGACCATCTCCAATATGAGACAATTCAGCCATCACCCCATGACATTCAGTGGTCTTACCATCACTGAATTCCCCACTATCTAAATCCTGGCGGTTTCCATTGACCAGAAACTTAACTGGACTCACCACATAATGAAGTGGCTACAAGAGCAGGTCAGAGGCTAGAAACACTGCAGTGAGTAACTCACCTTCTGACTTGCCAAAGCCTATCCACCAACTGCAAGGCACAAGTCAGAAATGTGATGGAATACTCCCCACTTGCCTGGATGGGTGCAGCTCCAACAACACTCCAAGAAGCTTGACAGCATCCAGAGCAAAGCAGCTCATGCAATTGGCAGATAATGCTTGCCCGGTTTATTTGTTTGTAAACTATATAACGTAAAAACTAATGGACAGATTTCAACAAAACCTGGTATATTAATAGGGTATGGTCCAAGGGTGATTTGATTAGATTGTTGGTGAAGTTCTGTTTGCAAAAATTGGTTAACATTGTCTTTAATTTCGAATGCCTGGTTTGTTTCAGGGAAGTATGGAGGATTGTCTCAATTGCTGTTTTTGGAATATGTTACAACTCTGCTCACATATTGATAACTTTCAAAGCAGATGATTAGATGTAGAATGACTGGGCGCCTCTTCAGTGAGGTGGAAGCTCTTGATAAAAAGATTTCTATTTCCAGCTTTTATCTTCGTGGTATTAACCAAGAAGGAAAAAGCCTCAGGTAATGCATAATTTGTAATAATCTTGAGTTTAACATATGTCATCTTCACTCTCTTGTTTTTATTTTGGGTTTCTAAAATCCACAGTATTTTGCTTTTGTAATATTGTTTGATTATGGATGTAATAAAAACCACAAGTGGGGATAGAGGAGTTTGGAAATAATATTCTAATGCTTAGAATGCAGTGAATTTGAGCAGCAGAGTTGAGCTTCCAATATAGTTTTCTGGGAGAGCCAAATAACCAGACAAGCTAGAGCCTGTAATAGGAGAAATAATAATTAAGCTCCTAGGCCTTCCCCTCAGGTTTTTATAACCAGTCCAACAGTGCACATGGGGCAGTTCTACAGATAACCAAACGGCCACCCACACTGAAGTTGCATTGATTGTAGAGCATCACAGCAGAAAATTATTTTCTTCACAGTCCCTTCAAATGGTTTTCGCTATTTTATGTGCACTCATTTTGCGCAGAATAGTGATGTGTCCATCTATGTCAGCAATCAATAATAAAGTATGGATGGAATGTTAGTGATA